AAAAAACAGAGGAAAAAATCTATGAGCAGTTAAATACAGAAATAATACATCATATTTAATTATTTATCTATGTGTGTATATATATGCATATATATATATATATATATATATATATATATATATATATTTCAGATCTGGTTGTTCGACATCGAAAGATTCCTAAAAATATTAGCCTCCAATTTGGTACCCGCAATGATTTTTAAATATATATGTTCATATATACTGGTAAGACACAAATGCATAAATGAATCTGTACATTATATACAAATGTTTAAGCATGTTTCCTCATAATCATCCACATTAGGTCATAAAATTCAAAATGTTCAAATGTGTACACATTCATCAAAACAATACATATACATATGTATATTAAATATATATTTGTATATGTAAAGTACACACAATGTTTACTAAATATATTATTGAGTTGCTTGAAACACTTTGCTAATGACTGATATATGATTAAGAATAAATGATTAAATCACTTTACGTTCTATTATTTATTCGAGTTTTTCTTATTTAACAACACCAGATGTTGTTCATGTTAATCTTCACTTATTCATATTATAGTTTTAGAACACATGTCCACATCGAACTCAGGACTCTTAAATACTTTCTATTATTTAGGACACAAGTAATTGGTAAACACATTTTTTAGACAGATTACTCTGAAAGTTGCAGGCCAAGTTACTTAGACAAACGTATCCATTCAACGTAAGAGAATCTCTTTTATAAATTTAATAAAATATGTCCAATGTGTTTATTAAAACTTTTGCAAGTACTTCTAAGATGTGTAATTATAATAATTTTCAAATCACCGTATTGAATCCTATTCAACATCAACTATCTTGCGGTTCGTTTATCAAATTGATTTTTCATCTTCGGCTGCCAGATCCTTACATTCAATGATAAAATTTTGTTTAAGACTTTCTTTTTCTCATAATGCACTTTATCTTGAAGTAATGTTTCATAAATCAACTGAAGTTGCGTTCCACCAGGAGAGTGAGTCTCACCATACACGTTTACACAAGAATTTTGTGTAAGGTTGTAGGTCTATTCAACTATTATACACCAGGTGGATGTTGCTTGAAGCAAGAACTTTTCAAAGTTCTACACTGCACCTGATCAATTTTAATCAACTTCTTACCTGAAACGCTTCAGATTGGTAAAAATTGACAAGATATTAGGTCGCACTAATAATTTTTCTTTAGTCTGTATTATTTTCCATCTAATCAGCTTCTGACTATCATGAGTCTCCATACAGCTAATCAAATTAAAACAATACCAAAACTAATGTATAACAACAGGGCTCTGCTGAACACAGACTCCGACCATAGGACTATCGTCCTGCTCGTTTTGACCACCGGATCCTGATGTGGATGAACTGTTTAAAGTGTTTGATCTTTTAGCATCCTGCAAAACGTTCGGATACTCATACCCTGCAGTTGTACTTGCAAAACCACCCATGTGCACCAAAGAATTTTGCGTCCCGCCATACTGATTGTGATGGTGATGATGATGAGCTATATAAGAATTCGTCTGATCAGTTTGACCGGTTAATTCGACTGGCAACGAAGCTGGAGCATAGGACATTGATTTGTTATTATAACGAGTCGTTTGCCTGTAACGTGCTGGTGAGGGATCACAATCCATTGCTATCAAGTAATGATTGTTTACCACATTACCATCCACTAAACTCGATACTGCTTGTTGGTGTTGCAAGATACTGCTGTTACTAACATTGGTGATAGAATTTGCAGATGCCTGTTGCTGGTGATGAGAGGCCAGAGCACTGATGTCACTCGAGCTGCCACGGCCAACACGAAGCATACTTGCTAAAGCTGGAATGATAATAGGAGATAAATATTTGTGATTTATTTAAAATATATTAATGACTGATAATTGCTCTGCACAAATATTTTACAGAATCATTATCATAATTATAATAATAAATAACATAAGTATACTGTAAAGAATGCAGGCAATTTGTATTTTTATAACTTGTGTGTTGTGTACATTTGATATAAAAATATATAAATATTATAAATATAGAATATTTATATAGGACATTCAAATTCAATTGTCTTTTTAGTAGTTTGCTACTTTTGTTATAATACTTAAGTAAAGTGTTTATATTTCCAAATTAATTTAACATGAATTGTTAGTGTGTACAGTGTT